CCGTTGCTCTGCCCATGTTTGACTCTGGCCCTGCCCACCACTGACATGTGGCCCCCAATAAGTTGCCCACTGCTGAATGCAGCCCTTGGGTTCTCTGATTTGTTAACAAATCACACACATGTGGGTCCCTGCCCCTGGTATAAGACATTCAGCCAATATGTGAAACTAATCTTCAAATGAGACACATTTGCACTCCTGGTATAGTCTTCTCCAACCCGAAGCCCTCCAGACATTATGGACTACATCCATACCCCAGCTAGCACAGCTGCAGTGCAAAAGCATCTGGAGTCTAAAACATCTAGAGGACAGTAGGTTGGAGAAGGATATCCTAATACATCATCCAATGTGGTATGAAGTATGGTGGAGAAATAGCTAGCAATACCCTTCTTTTGAGTATGGACCGCAGGATATTTTTGTTATCATTTATGGCAATATAAGTGTACAAGGATGAAGTGCTCTTGACACAGAAGGCTGCAGTCCTACCCACATTTATATGGGGGAGTCGAAACATGTTGGGACTTAATGCTGAGTAGACACATACAGGATCGTGCTCTAAATTGCTGCCCATCGTAATTTACAGTCAGCATCTCCACTTAGACGTGTTAGTACCTTGGTTTACGAACTTAATCCGTTCCAAAAGTCTGTTCTTAAACCAAAACTGTTCTTAAACCGAGGCACACTTTCCCTAATGAGGCCTCCCACCACCTGTGCCCTTCCACCATTCGGATTCCATTCTTAGACCAAGGTAAAGTTCTCAAACCAAGACACTTTCTGGTTTTGCAGAGTTTGTAAACCAAATCGTTCTTAAAATGGACTGTTCTTAAACCAAGGTACCACTGTACTAAAATTGCCTTGCATGGCATTGCACTCCTACAACAGTAACCCTGTGAGATTATAAATGGAAGAAAGACACTCACTTTTTTCTAGCCTAAAGAAAGACAATTCCTTCACCTGCCTGCTGAACCAGCTAGCCTAAGTTTCCCAGCTGAAGGAAACACCTGGCAACCAACGAATTCATACTTCTGATTTAGTACAATGCAGAAAACTTTCTTGCTCCAGAACTTTTAATGGAGCTGTGCCTTCAACTCTAAATCAGGTTCTATCAAATGAGTAGGAGAGACAAAGAGACACACACACAGAGAGAATAAGGCTGGAAGGAAATCCAGTCTTTCGCTGCATTATGTCTAAACAGAATCTCTGCTGTCTTGAGCTGATGGGAATGATAGAATCATAGAATTATAGAGTTGGAAGGGACCCCAAGGGTCATCCAGACCTGCCCCCTGCAAGGCAGTAATCACAGCTGAGCCATCCGTGACAGACGGCCATCTAACCTCTGCTTAACAACCTCCAAGAAAGGAAAGTCCAGAACCTCCCAAGGGAAACCATTCCACTGTCTAACACAGGGGTCAGCAAACTTTTTCAGCAGGGGGCTGGTCCACTGTCCCTCAGACCTTGTGGGGGGTCCAGACTATATGGGGGGGGGGAGAATGAACAAATTCCTATGCCCCACAAATAACCCAGAGATGCATCTTAAATAAAAGGACACATTCTACTCATGTAAAAACATGCTGATTCCTGGACCGTCCGTGGGCTGGTTTTAGAAGGCGATTGGGCTGGATCCGGCCCCCGGGCCTTAGCTTACCTACCCATGATCTAACAGCTCTTACTGTCAGAAAGTTCTTCCTGATGCTTTTTCCCTCTTCTATATGACAGTCCTTCAGATTTTGGAAGATCACTATCATATCTCCTCTGCCCCAATGTTGTAGTCCAAAACATCTGGTGGGGGGCACCAGGTTGGCAAATGCTGCACTAAACGATTATCTGTACAGTCAGTTAAGCTGACTTTCAGCCTGGAAGATGGTCTCCGCAAACAAATTCACCTCCCTGCTTTGAGTGTTGTTCTTTAAACATCCAGCCATAAAACCTCTCAGCTATTAGGCTGTCCTGTGCCCTGCTCAACAAGAAGAGAGGCCCTGATTCAGCTAACTTGAAGCATTGTGAGGTTAGGTATTTCTGATCAAGTCCCTCTGTGTTCCATGCGGAAGTCTCAGGGAATTATGCATAGAATTCCAGCCTTGGTCATGACTAATTTGAGTTGGATGGGGGCCAGGGGCATTACAATAAATCTGTTTGACCCACGGGAACAGGACCCTATTAGTTTAATTAATATGCCCTTGATTTCATTTAATCCAAGTTATCATTAATTATCGCTGAAGGCTTATATAAGCCTACAGGTCATAAATATACCCCGCAGCTCCCAAACCTCATGTTTAGAAGCAGGCAACTTCTGATTAATAGATGCTGGGGCACACGGCAGGCAAGGCTTGTTGATTTCATGCCTTGTTTACGTGCATCCTGCACAGAGCCGGTCCTGCCATTAGGTAGAGTGAAGCAGCCACTTCAGCTGATTTTGGGTGTTGTGAAAGGGCAGCAAATTGCTCAGTTATTTATTCTGACTGTATCTTTGCTCCAAGGGAGGAGGAGGAGAGGCTGTGGGATTTCCTGCCTCAAGTGCCAAATAACTTGGAACACAGAACAGAGACATCAAAATATGTTGCATCCACACCTCTATTTGACTCACTGCTTTCCCCCTGGGCAGGGGTGCCAACACGAATAAAATGTTGTGGGGACCCAGGTAAGCCCCGCCCCGCAGAATCGATCACATGATTCAGTGTATGCAGTGTATATCGAGGGTTTCAGGTAGTGGCAGTCCCAGCTCTACCTGTTGAGTCTGGAGACTAAACTCAATACTTTCTGCATGAAAGGCCACTGCTTTGCCACTGAGCCACCACTGTTGGCCAATCTTGGTCTCTGTGCACCCTGATGTCATTCAACACCATTTGCTGTTCTGCTTCAAGTGACAGGATGTCTTGTGCTGGCTCTGCTACTGTGGCCTCTACACTAGAGGAATACAGTGGTACCTCGCAAGACGAATGCCTCGCAAGACAAAAAAATCGCTAGACGAAAGGGTTTTTTGTTTTTTGAGCTGCTTTGCAAGACGATTTTCCCTATGGGCTTGCTTCGCAAGACGGAAACGTCTTGCAAGTTTGTTTCCTTTTTCTTAACACTGTTAATACAGTTGCGACTTGACTTCGAGGAGCAACTCATAGAAGGCGGTGTGGTAGCCTTTTTTGAGGTTTTTAAAGACTTTGGTGATTTTTGAAGCTTTTCCAACACTTTCCCGACACCATGCTTCGCAAGACGAAAAAAATCGTAAGACAAAACTCGCGGAACGAATTAATTTCATCTTGTGAGGCACCACTGTATTGTACAATTGAGGCACCCTCCTTATGAAACTCTCTGCCCCTTGAAGACCAATAGCTCCATCCTTATACACACCCTCCAACATTTCTCTGACGAAAATAGGGATGTCCCATTTATTATTATTATTATTATTATTATTATTATTATTATTATTATCCCACCCATCTCACCGGGTTGCCCCAGCCACTCTAGGCAGCTTCCAACAAAAATAAAAACATATTAAAACATTACATGTTTAAAAACTTTCCTATACAGGACTGCCTTCAGATGTCTTCTAAAGGTTGCATTGTTATTTATCTCCTTGGCTCGGGGGTTGCTCGATACTTTTCAACTCCATACCTTCCAACATTTCTCTGATGAAAATAGGGATGTCCTAAGGAAACGTGGGACATTCCAGGATCAAATCAGAAATTGGGAAGACTTCTCTAAATCTGGGACTCCCCCTGGAAAATGGGGACACTTGAAGGATCTGCTTATACGCTATAAACAAGTAAGTAAAAAGGTTTTTTCTTCTGTGAAGCTTTTAAAAATTGCACTTCTGTAGGGCTGAGTTGAGCTTGATTTTAAATGGGTTCTTTGTTTCTATTGCTTTTAAATATCGGTATAAATAATAAATTATTATTATTATTATTATTATTATTATTATTATTATTAAAAAATAAAAATAATCTGTGTTCTATTTCCCTCTCTTCTGGCATTTCACAGAGAAGAAACAAATAAACAAACTGTTCTTATTATCATGCCAGCATACAGATAATTTATCTTGAGAGTACAGTTTTTATCTGGTAAGCTGTCTTTGCTGTAGAAAGTAACTGGGATTTTGTATCAAAGGCTATTGATAGCTCTGTGTGCTACTGATTAAATAGTACCATGTTATTTTGAATAGTAGAATGTTACTTTTAATAGATTTTTATTTGATTGTTAATATTTCTTATTGTATTTTATTTCTATTTTGCACATCGCTTTGAGATTCTTTTGAATACAAAGTGAGGAAAAACTGTCTAAATTAAACTAATTAGATAAAAAGAAAAGAAAAGTGGTGAGGGCCAGTTTTTTTGCTCACAAATGTACCAGGGAAGGGAATATTAAAAAATGCTTTTGTAACAAGTGAAATAATGTATTTTTGAAGCCAATGATATCTCTCAGATTACTTTAGTAGCTATTTGCTAGGGAATATAATCTTACTTTCATGACAGAGATGATACAAAAATCAGACAAGAACATATTTAACTTACCGTAATTTAAGGAGGATAGAAACCAGAAATAAAGATTGCATACTAAAATTCATAAATATGAGATTCATTTAAGTGCTTTTAAGTGAATGCAAGAATTAAGCATAAGCTTAAATCTTTTCCCCATCCCTTGAAAATGGTGCCATTTGAAAGTGCTTAACTTTGGCAGAATCATGCCTCATCATTATAAAACATTCTCGCGATTAAAGTAAGTGTATACTAAGAGACATTTAAGGGTGCTTAAAAAAAATTACTCGTGCTTTTATTTGGTTCTTCTTTGTTATTACTATGCAAACCTTCTGCTGTGCATTTAATTAAACAAGTTGTCTTAGTCAGGAGACTGGAAAGCTGGGGCTCTTTCAGAATATATTAGGCAGCTCAAATATGAAATGAAAAGAAAACAGAGTTTTGGCCAACAGAAACAAGTGATTCATTTCCTTGTGAAAACACACAAGGTTTCTGTTACTCTGGCAACAATGTTCACCATTCCAGAATAAAGTCTCCTTCTGCTGCCTTTGGAGCTGTTATGTATTCCACTTACAGTCTGTGTTCCACAATGACCTCACATTGAACCACGTTCTTTTTAGCTATTCACAAGGGACGGTAAGTTATGCTTTAAATCCGATAACATTTTGGCATGTATTTTGTTCTCATTTCTTCTGTTGTATATCACAGACATCAAAGATACTGTGGATTTTCTGATTGTCGGTTTGATTAAAAAAACACAAAACACCCCACCCCAAACCTGCACCGAACAACCCTGTTAAATTTACATGTCACATTTCAAACAGGTCAGGTTGGCAAACAGCAGTCCTCCATATGATTACCTCCCTCATTTTAACAAGAGATGTTTACTCGCTTGCGTAGAATACACTTACTTCATAACGATGGATTGCTGCATAGCATCCAGATGTGTTTTGAGATTATCAGTTTACATACCCTCCAACATTTCTCTGATGAAAATAGGGAGGTCCCATTCCATAATGATAATGTTACAATTTATACCCCACCCATCTGACTGGGTTGCCCCCTTAGCCATTCTGGGCAGCTTCCAACACAGATGAAAACATTAAACATTAAGATGGGGCACGTCACGTTCAAAGGATTTTGGCTTTTTACTTGTGACCCCAGTTTGAGTACAATTATTCAGTTTGCGGGGGGAGGGCACAAAATGTGGGGTTTGCAGCACAAAACAGCACAAATGTAGCATAAAACTTTTACATCAGGTTTTTTTTGGGGGGGGGATCTGGAATTTTGGGATCACACATTAATGAAGCTTATTTTGGGTTCCTATAGCCGCACCAAGAAATCCGCATAAGCAAACCGCATTAAAAATTGTGTGCTGAGAATTTCCAGTTGCCAGACCATACGCTTTTGCTTTCTAGAGTGGGATTTATTTATTTTTAACCAAGGGGCATATGCAGCTATCTCTGTACTCTGGTCTTATCTGAGTGGGGGAAAGGTGGGTGGACAACTAAATCATGCCCAAATGTGGAAGATTCTGGTAGCACTCATTATAATTACCTGTTAGTGATAAAAATAATTGATCATAAAACCATATTGTGCTTCTCTGTGTTTTCTATTGCTCCCTAAAGAGCTACATTGTACTTGGACTAAGGCTTCATGTCTCCTGGACCATCTCAGTTGTCTCCATCTGGCCCAGGAGTGCCTTCCTTCCTTGCCATTCCCAAGCTCCAGAAGCATATGGATCTAGGAGTCAGGCAAATCTCTTGGACCTGCTGGTACAGCAGCAAAAGTATCACCCTACAATTGTCAAGGGTCTTCAGGCATTTGCTCAAGCGAGCAAGAGATCATCAGAACTAATTGAGACAGAGCCAGCACAAAGTAGCTGGGGAATGTGCTTGTTGGGGGAGAGGCAGAATTGATGACATATTTTGCTAACAAGAGGAGCGGCTGCACTTTGTACTAGCTGGAAGCTTTTCATGGCATGTGGCTTTTTGTCAGATAAAATGAGTTGTAATAATTGAGCCAGAAGGTCAAGAATGCATGGATTGTGAATGTCTTGCTTCTGTGACTTTTCTTTATTTTCTAACCATTTGCTTTTTGTATAAGCTACCAAAATGGGGAAAAACCAACGTCATACATAACTGCAGATTTGCTTCCATTTTTAAAACAACAACAACAACCATTTCCTAGTCATTAAAGCCATTTTTATTTACTTTTAAGTTTGTTAAACAGCAGAACCTTGTTTTATCTTGTGGCCCAGGAAAGCATAGTATTCTTTTCTGTCTTGAGTTCCTTGCAAAGTTCAGTTGTCAAAAGATTTTTTTTTAAAGAAACAATAACCCCCACACTAGGAAAATGTGACCTGCTCTGGGCTGTGTCATAGGTTGAAAATTTCCCCTCCCTTTCGAGAGAGAGAACATGTCTCCAAGGCCCTGAAGCACCAAGAGAGATTGTATTCCAAGATGAAAACCAGAGTTGTTAGTGAAGCCTATATTTCAGCACTTGCCCCTTATATTCATTTCTGGCCCAGCCCAAAAGGTTTTGCAGCCTAAAGCAAAGGACAAGATTGCAACTCCCTCTGTTTCATGTACAAAAGCCAACAAGACCAGGACTTTTTTTCAGCTGGAACTTGCCGGAACTCAGTTCCTGCACCTCTCAGGTGGGCGCCATTGTAAGAGAACAAGGGAGAAATTCATGGTGAGTTCCGGCACCTCTTTTTCTAGAAAAATAGCAATGAAGAAGACTGGTACATCCATCTTACTTCCACATCCTCCACTTTACTCAAGGCTAGGGTTACACCCACTCCATCCATTTAAAGCACAGGAGGGCTGTAGTTTGTTAGGGGTACTGGGCACTGTAGTTCTCTGAGGGTCAAACTAGTTCCCAGGATACTTTGGGGAAAGACATTTGCTTTAAACTATGTGAGGTGGATTAGGCTGAAATACATCGATTGATTCACTGGATTCATGACAAACCTAGACAGCATCTTTAAAAGCAGAGACATCACCTTGCCAACAAAGGTCTGTATAGTAAAAGCTATGGTTTTCCCAGTAGTGATGTATGGAAGTGAGAGCTGGACCATAAAGAAGGCTGATCGCCGAAGAATTGATGCTTTTGAATTATGGTGCTGGAGGAGACTCTTGAGAGTCCCATGGACTGCAAGAAGATCAAACCTATCCATTCTTAAGGAAATCAGCCCTGAGTGGTCACTGGAAGGACAGATCCTGAAGCTGAGACTCCAATACTTTGGCCACCTCATGAGAAGAGAAGACTCCCTGGAAAAGACCCTGATGTTGGGAAAGATGGAGGGCACAAGGAGAAGGGGACGACAGAGGGTGAGATGGTTGGATGGTGTTCTTGAAGCTACCAACATGAGTTTGATCAAACTGCGGGAGGCAATGGAGGACAGAAGTGCCTGGCGTGCTCTGGTCCATGGGGTCACGAAGAGTCAGACACGACTAAACGACTAAACAACAACACATTGACTGATTCACTGGATTCATGGCTGATTGGGGTTTGAACCTGGCCTCCAAGGTCCTAGTCCATCTCTCTAACCACTAAACCATAATAGTGGGAGAGTTCCAAAGCAATATATTTAATAGTGCATTTTCATAGCATTTACTATCCATTTTCTGGGGTTCAGATCACATACCTCCACATTTGGGTGTATACATGTAGATGTAAAACTAGGGTTGTCATAAATCCAGAATTTCCTGGACTTAGCCAGAATACTGCAGTTGGAAGTGGCTGGGCAAGATATCGCTAAAAATGTCTGGGGAAATCCAGACGTATGGCAACCCATGTTGGCAGTGTATTTTTTGGCGATTTACCTTAAAAATAGCTCAAAACACCCCTTTTTTGCCAACCCCCCCCCCTCAAGAATGGGCAGGAATTGGTAGGCAGACCAGTGGGCATGACCCTAATCACCCCCTCCTTGTGTTCATTTGTATCCAAACCACTAAGTGAATAGGGCTGTTGCTGTAGGTAGGTCTTCAACATGTGTTATGCACATTTCCTTGCGACGGTGTGCCTGGGGCTGACCTCTGAAGCTGGTGTCTTGGGAAACTGACCATAACAATTCATTATGAATGTTTAATAGAGTGTTTAATCTTGCAGTGGATCTGGAATAGCTGCAATGAGCACATTCAGCTACATTTATCTGGATAAGATGTTTTGGAGGGAAGCTCAGGCTAGCCTTACTCTAGTTTACATCCGCACACATTTCTAAAAGGGAACCCAAACAACAACAACAACAACAACAACAACAACAACAACAACACACCTCTACCAAATGCAAAATAGAGACAGTAGTTTACCCGGGAGAGACCACCAGTAGGGACTATTGTAAATAGAAAGCATTAGAGTGTGTATGCTTACTACATCATTTTTTAAAACTTCCACTGAAAGAAATTGAAAAGAAATAGTGGGGGAGGGTGTGGACTTCAACCTGCATGGATGGTGCTAATTCCAAGGCAGAATCAACAGACTTTGAGCTTTGGCTTCTCTAGAATTAACAGAGCTCATATAGAACCACCTTTTTCACCCAGGCTGCAGAAATTCTAGGAGGATGGATAGCTGAACATGAAGAAACTGGCTGTGCAGTTGTCATTTATTCAACAGAAATTGCTCCCCTTATCAGCAATTGCCATTCTGAATGCCTAGAGTTTCATAGGGTGGAAATGGGAGCACACGTGCTGGTTATGCACTCCTAAGCTTAAGCACCAAGCTCTTTATTCTCCTGACATTTGCTAAGACTAAGTTTCTGATAGACAGGAAAGTTTTTGGGGATTCCAAACCTTGCTTCCACTCCTTGCCCCCTTCTCTCTCCCTGGTATTTTTGACACCCCATGCTGACTTTATAACAGTAAATTTTTTACAGGCCAATAACAACCTAATTCCGATGCCCCATCCCTTTCTCATGCCATTGGGCCTTCTCATCAGCTTCCAACCTCCAACTTGTGTCACACATACAACTTGTGACCTTGTGTCACACAGCTATATATTCCTGGTGTCAAGAATTGGCATTGACGGGAACCTGCCAAGGCCACAGTCAGTAAGCATGCACTGCCAATCCCTGGATCCTTCTGACCCCGCTGCTTATCCTCTTTTCTGTTGCACTTGTGAAGCAAACAAGAAAGTCACCTGCCCTATCAGAGGGAACCAATAGTAGATGGAGGAGGAGGAGTAGTAACCTCCATATGTTGTGCCCTGTTTCCATGGAAGGTGGGCCTAGTGGATGGGGCAAAAACATGAACAGTGGCTGTTAGTCCTACCTGCACTGTCAGGGCACAATGTTTCTGTGTGCCAGTTATTGGCGAACACGAGGAGGGAGAGTGCTGTTGTGATCAGGTCCTGCTTTCATAGGCATCTGCTTGGTCATTGTGAGAACAGGATTCTGGACTAAATAGATGTACAGAGGACTTTATATGTAATATTGTTATTGTGTTTGATTTCTTATCTGCATTTCACCATTGCATTCAGTGAGCCATACAACACTTCCCTATTTCTTAGGTGGTTTTTTAAAAAATACAAATAAATAAATAAATACATAGTTGACTTTTGTAGACAGGAATAAGATTCTTTGTGCTATATTGCATTTTACCTAAGTACAAATGCATACTTTGTCAATAGTTCACATATAGGGCCATTTTATATTCCACACTTTTGAGTACACACCTAAAATGTTCTAAATGCATATTTCTAATGAGAAATACGAATATTTCCACACAGGTATATGCTACAGGTAAAGACCAAAAAACTAACTGACATCATGTACCTGCTTAGATAACATCTTCTGGCAAACCTACGTTTACTACTTCATGCACAATTTTCGTGCATGGAGACCGGTTCTGTATTAAATAAATGCACCATCGTAGTTGGTGAGTTCATGCACGTCTGCATGTAGAGCCACTTAGGGCTGCCATACGTCCGAGTTTTCCGTTCAGGAATCGGACTGTCAAAATGGTGTCCGGGCAGATTTTCACCAAATCAGCGAAACCCAAAGAGTTTGCCCTCCCCCCAAAAGCTCAACAACATCACCTTCCGCCCTCCTCTGAACTGAAAAGGTCGACAACTTTGTCCAGATTTTCACTTTTGGCAATGTGGCAACATTTCTTTCCCACCTTTCACCCAAAATTATCCACAAGGCATTTCTCCACCTCCTTTTACTCTGACAACAGCACTGTGAGGTAGGTTAGACTGAGAGAAAGTGACTAGCCCAAGGTCCTTAGGGATATGAAAACCAGACAAAGAACTAAGGTAACACCACCACAAAATCCTGTTGTGGTTGTTACAGCAGTATCCCTGGTGTGTCAGAACTGTTGCTAAGAAATTTTTCCAGAACATGTTGGGCTCACAATGTTTAGCAGCACCTCTAGTTTCTTTCCTTCTCTCTTTCCTTCCTTCCCCATTTTTTCCTGGGTGGGGATTTGAACCCTGGTCCAAAACTCTAGTCATTTCACCACCCACACCATGCTACCCATCCATTACATAACTGGGGACCAATTAGCACTTCATGCAGCAAATTAGTTTGCTGCTTGCTCCTGCTGTGACGTCATGGTTGCATCCAGTTACTCAGGGCATATCACCATGTGTCCTGTTTATGTCCTGGAAGTTTGCCACCTGGTATTGCAGGGTTTTTTGGGGGCGGGGGGGGGACATGTAGTGTGCCAACCTATCTGCCACATAAAGTGTGGGACTGGACCTGAATACACAGATGGGGAGAGAGAGAGCTCTTATGCATCAGCCTATGCATCATCTCTATACCTGCTATATTACTCAGCTTAGAGAAACAGACAGGAGCCCTCCATGAATACTCGCCTCTGTGTTCTATGCAGAAGCCTGCCTGCATAAATATTTTATTTAGTTTAAATAGAAAATCCTTAAAATAACCTTTTCCCCTACTGTTCTTTTCAAATGATATTTAATCCATAAAAATGCTGACTGTAAATTCACCTTCAGCTAAAGTAAACATTTCTCTCTGGATACTTAAAACGTGTGCGCACAGACACAGACACACACACACACATATGCCCTGGGTACTGCCACACTGATATTTCGAGACATATTTGGCCTTTTAAATCTCTTTCTTAATATCAGCATAGAATTAAACTTCAAACATTGGCTCTCTTTCCTACCTTATATATTCCGTGCCATTTAGCTAGAGATATTGCAAGGTTGTTGTTTCTACCTTGATGACAAACATTCATTCATTCAAAAACAAATGAATAAATGTTGGGATCAGAAGGCGGTAGTTTGAAGGAAAGAAAACGATGACAGGAAAGGAAATAGGAAAGGGTTAAAGATGCTCCCCAAAGCAGTATTTTGGCCTGACGAGTTTTGAATTCAAGACTGTTCCTGGTGGGTGGTGGCTGGAGTGGTTGTAACTCAAATCACTTCCAAGAAGGGTATTGTAGAGCTGGAAAAGGTGCTAAAAAGGACAACCAAAGAAAGTGATACTTCTCTCACAATACTAGGACTTGGGGTCATCCAATGAAGCTGAATATTGGAAGATTCAGGAATGACTGAAGTACTTCTCCGTGTAGTGCATAGTTAAATTACTGAATTCACAACAGTAAGATGTAGTGATAGTAATCAATTTGGGGCAACTTAAAAAAGAGACTAAACAAATTCATGAAAGATAAGGCTATCAATGGCTGCTAGTCATGACTGGCTCTATCACCTCTAGTATCAGACACACCTTGTCTCTGAATTCCAGTGACTGGGGAACCAGAGTGGGAAAGGGTTATTGCCCTTATATTCTTAGAATCATAGAATTGCAGAGCTGGAAGGGACCACAAGGGTCATATGGTCCAACCCCCTGCAATGCAGGAGTCTTTTTGCCCAACGTGGGGCTTGAACCCACAACCTTGAAATTGAGAGTCACATGCTCTGCGGACTGAGCTATTCCATAGACTCCCTTGTGGACTTCCAAAAGATATCTGGATAGTCACTGTAAGAACAGAATGCCGGACTAGATAGGTCTTTAGTCTGCTCCAGCAGAGCTCTTCTGACATTTCCATAACCCCTTGAAAAGGTCATAGAACATATTCATTGCCCTCAGTGAAAGACAAGCTTCTTTAGGTTTCTCTTCTCCTTTGAGAGTTCTTCTGGACTTGTGTTCCTCTGCTCCATGTTGGATTTTAGTCTAGAAAAGAACAGCACAGGGAAAGATTATCTGAAGGATTTGCTATGCCTACGCAACAGTAACTTTCTGATCCAATAAAACCAAAATATGGAACACTCATTAGAATGCTAAAATATTGTATTGATTTAAGATTAGCTTATACATGCTGAGCAACCTTACCATGAAAAGCAATCTCAAAGAATAAAGCCTTAAGGTGCGGTTCAAAAATGTCCAGGCAGGCTTAGACTTTTGGTGAGGTCTTGAGGGAAGGGCATTCCATGATTACTAAGAACATTTATTTGCCTACAGACCCTTAAGGCATGGAATTGGTGTATAGATGGTATATTTAAGGAAGGGCAAGTGGCTGGTCATAAAGACTGTGACAGAACATAAAATAGGAAGACATTTCCAAGGGTCCATCTACACAGTGCTATTTTTCTGGAAAAAGAGGTGCCAGAACTCACCACAAACATCTCCATTGTTCTCTTACAACGGCAATGGTGCCCACCTGAAAGGTGCCAGAACTGAGTTCCGATGAATTCTGGCTGAAATAAAGCCCTGCATCTACACATCATGAGGGGCGGGAGACAGTCTCCAACGCTCTAGTGGAGCAGAACTTTTCTCTCCTCTGCAGCCCACTGCATGCCCTCAAAATCAGCTCTGGAAGTTTGGGAGACCCTCCAGAGAAGAGGAGGAAGAGGAGGAGAGAAAAAGCAGCAGTGCACTGTTCTTTGCTGATTTTATTTCTTGACTAGAGAAATAAGCCTCCATATACTATTCACAAAGGTTTGTTCACATGTCACACTGAACAAAGTGTGTGTCTTTGTTCTCTACACATGTGTCTCTACACATGTATATGCACTTGTGTGAAAGCAGATATGCTTGTTTATTTGTTCAGTTCATTTACTGTGTACACCCACTGAATGTTACATGTGAAGATCAATCACTAAAAGGTGACAGATTTCTGAGGGTAGGAGATTTTTTTTTCTTTAAACTATTCTGGGCCAAGATTATTTTAAAATACGCCTTCAAAAAGTCTACCTGCTAGTTTGTTTTCTTCACATTCTGGATTATCTCTGTGATAACTTGAAGTTTTGCTTTAATTATAGGAAGCTGTGTTGAATTCAAAAGGCTGTCATCTTCTGAGTCTTTCCAGAAGGTTGGAGTTTCTAGTTCAGAGGAGGGGGGTGGAAACTCTTCTTTCCTTCCCCCCACCCGGTAATAATATGGTCCAGTGATTATTTAAAGCATTTTCTAATTTAACTCCATGCAGCAAGAATAAAGTTAAAGGAGAGACTAGTAATTACCTACAGCTGAGTATGAGCTATTGGACAGTCATTTTGGCCAATGGTCATTTTGTATCTCAGGCTACTATGGCTGAAATACTGGTAGTTTTGATGTGGGAAAGCTTCAGTTAAAAAACAGCAACAAAGAACTAAGGAATAAGACACAATAGTTTGAAAGAAAATATTGGGTGTTGTTTCAAGAATCTGTCACCTTTATCATGCATGGCATGTCCTATGTCCTTCTGACTGAACTGTGTTCCACAATAGTTTCTCATTTTTTGTTTTCAGATGGAAATAAGAAAGAAAAACCAGGAAGTAAATACTTAAAAAGAAACTATGAGAAAGATAAGAGAGTACTTCAGAGCCACAGCAAAGTATGTATACTTAAAGCTGCCTTTCTGAAATGTACTAATTGTATGCACATTTCACATTGTTGCAGACAACTCATTACTGAGAAAAGTTGGAAATTATTCTTCCTGGGACCTTTTAATTGATGGTGTTTTACCTAAGAGGACATTGGTGAAGAGTCCTCTTCTATCTTCCCACCCCAACACTGAACCACAAATTTTTAAAAGACAAGTATGGAGCAATCTGACCAAATGTCCTGGGACAGAAATAACTGCTTTCGGTGAAGTGCTGCAAAAGCTTAATTAGACTGGTAATTGGGCTCCACAGCATTGACTTTTTGCTCCATGTCTCTGGGAAAGCAGACACAGGCAGGCTGGTGTAACAGCTACTAGCAGAAGAGAGAAAGGGACTGATGGAAAAGACATGATTAATCTGCTCTGAGGAACATGAATGGGACTCCTTGTCAAGACAATCAGTTTGCAAACCTTTAGAAAATATTGCCTAATTAAAAAAAGAAAAAAATGGAAGCAAGTTCAATTTTCTTGAAGACCAAGTGACTGACATACCACCAGTGGGCTGACACATCAGCAGGCTGGAGCTCATGTAATGCTAAACTGTGGTTTTCCATACAGTTTTGAAGAGCCTCAGTTTAGCATTATGTGCAAATCTCAACTCAGCATTAGGTATAAACTAGAAATTCTGCTTTAAAACAAGCAGTAGTTAAACAAACCAGTCTCATCATAACCTAAATGTGCATTTAAATGCACATTGTTTAGCAGTTAACCATTGATTGGTTCATACCAGGATTCTTGGTTGCATATGATTCTTTGAAACCAAACATATAGTTGACTGAAACCCACCCCTAGCCACATTGGAACTGGTTGAGAGAGCGCATGAGGCCAGGGCCAGATTTAGATGAAGAGAGGCCCTAGGCTACTCCACTTGTGAGGCCCCTCCCCACCCCCCCACCCTCATGACTAGAAGAAAATGGAAGAGTGTTATATTTAAAATTCTGCAATTCACAATTTCTCCTCTAAATGACATAATATGTTATTGTTAAATACCATGGTGATTTTAAAAAATGCATAAAATTAACACTGAAAAACTTTTGCAATAGCTGAACTTTGTAAACATTTTGTGGAATAAGCATTATTTCTTAGGAAAATGAAGTTGTAATGTTATTCTTAAAATAACATTATTTTAATGCTTGTGCAGGCCGGGTCTTCCTGTGATATACCTGCTGGGATTGACAAGGCATCTGACCCTACCTGAATCTCTTAGCTCTCTTGACAGGTGATTTGGTCTGCAGCCACAGTATAGAAATAAAGGAGGAGATTGCCTACCAGATACCAGGCATTCTATTATTCAAATTAGGCCCCAATGTTTTTCTTACAATCCCCTTCCCAATGAATTAATCAGTTTTAATCTAGCATGCAAATTCTCAAAACTTTCTTATTTGTTAATTCAAGCAACTACTGCTTTCACTTCATTACAAACAGTATTTCTACCTGCAACACACTTGAGCAAACCTGCTCTTCTTCCTTTCACAGATATTTTGTTTCCATTTGCAACTCTAGCTGCCTCTGATGAGTTATCATTTAACTCTTTGGGGGGGGGGAATTAGCGTCAGAGGTCATATGCATGGAAGTTGCCAAATCAATTAACGAACTAGAAGGGTTACTGTTAATAGCACCAGTTTTTCTATAACTTGATATTGCTAGATAGTTCTGATGAACTGCAAAAGCATTTTTAGTTTGCTTTCTGTTGGCACCCTGGAACTTTTCTTTATCAGTGCTAGTTTATTTTGTACAATTCCTTGCAAATGAAGGAAAACAACTTTTCTGCTTGTATATGTTGATAATATAATTTTGGTTGATGAGGACAAACAAGATCGTACAAAAACAAGATTGGGTGCAGGCCTGGCCAGGACATAGGTGACAAAGGTGACCTGTGTGCTTGCTTGCTTGCTTGCTTGCTTGCTTGATTAACAGCTGTTGGGAATTTCAAGGTCCCTGCTCTCCCTTCTTATTGTCTTTATATTAGACCTGGAGACTCCAATAGAGGGCATTCCATGTCAAGAAGGAAGACAAGTGGGCACCCTATCAAATGACAGGGCAGGAGCTACACGGAACAGGGCCTTTTCACTGGTGGTGCCCATTGTATGCCTCACTCTTCCCAAACCTGCTCTCTTTGGGCCTGTATTTTGGAGCTTTATAATTTAAGAAGATTTTGGAAGAACTGGTTGACAAGTCTTATCAGTTGCTGACGTATGACCAGATTTTATTTGCAGCTATTCTGGGCTCCTGGTGCACCAGGGTTTACACCAGTGTAATAGAGTTGGCCAGGATGCCAGAAGGGATACAATTTACGAGCTTTCTCCATTATCTGCACAGCAGGGGGTGTTTAGTCAACAGTGCAAAGGCTGAACTGAAGCATTTCCTGCTGGTTACCTGCTTTCAGCAATAGGGATCGCTGTTTGGTAGTACCCGATTGGTTAGCTATCAGATTCTAGAGCTCCCTATTGGTGGCTCTTAGGTAATTCACAAAATACAGAGTCCATTAATAAAACACAGTTTTCATTCATAAAGCAGTAACATAAATCTCCATTGCTACATATTGGGTGTATATTTCAGTGGTTGAACGTACAGGTTTATGGCCATGCTGTAGTGTAGTGCTTATGCAACTGTGAATAAAAGGTGGCTGGGCTCATCGTCCCAGGGTTGGGGGGGGGAGGAGACAAAACTAATTTCCAGTAAGTGCCCCCATTATTTCCATAACAAATCCTTGAGTCTGTACTCTGAATAGTGACACCAGGGACCTAGAAGGTGCAGGGCTTGTCAGTCCAACCCCTGCACATTCTCATCAGGGCTGACCTTAAGGCAATTGGAGCAATTGGGCTAAATTCAGCCCCGTGGGCTGCTCCTAAGGGGGCCCTTGCACCAGGGCAATCTAGATGGATTTTATTTATATCTAGAAGATTTTGCAGACTTTGGCTGTCAACTGGAGCCCTACAAAAAAACAAAAAAACCACACCCTAAAGTTGGGCCCCACTGCTTCAAATTGGGCCCCACTGGCTAGCCCTGAGTCTCATAGTTGCTGGGCCTGAGTTGCCCTGCCCTTGCATTAAGTCTTGGGTTTGCAATTTTGGGAGAGGGGAGACTGCGGAACTGGGGAGCGGGCAGGCTGGTGAGATCCCCTAGATTTTAGAAGTTGCCCTGCCCCCGCATGAAATCTTGGTTTGCAATTTTGGGAGAGGGGAGGTTGCCTGCTGGGGAGCGGGCAGGCTAGCAAGGCCCCCTAGATTTAGAGGCCCTAGGCTTCAGCCTACTTAGCCGATACATAAATCCGGCACTGCATGAGGCTCATCCTACATGCTAAGCACCTCACTGTTTGTGAGGGGCACACCCAGAACATCTGTTGCAGCCAACTACTTTGCCACACATTTTCCCAACCATCTGTATCAGATATTTTGGTAAGATTCTCAGTGCAACTTGGCAGCATAAGGATGACCAAGCTACCTCAGGGCAAGAGAACTCATTTTATGGTAGCTGAGTCATCTGCATGTGTCGCTGTTATTCAGATCAGAGCACTAGATATTTTTCCTCTGTTCTTTTTATTCCCTCATGCGGCAGCTCAGAGTTAAGCAAGATTTGCTTGATTTCATAGTCCCCCTCCATGTGGTATTTATAACCTAATAATCTTATGCCTTTGCTTTCAACACAATGGAGGGCTTTTTGGTTTTGTTCTGGAATAGTTTGCAATGCTTCCCTCACACTTCTTCAATATATTAAAGGCTTTATTGTGGCATAAATTGTTTGTGGACTTCACTGAATTTCATTGGATGCATGAAGCCTTATCCATTAAGTCTCTATAATGTATAATATGAAGGGTAGGGTATAAATTCTACATATAAGAATGAAGGAACAAATGTCATAAGCAAAGTGACCTGACCATTCGCCACCGCCATAACTGACAATCCTCATTAGTGGGACAGGAAATCATTGTCCCTATTCAAATGAAAGTGGGCAAACTGAAGTGAAACTCAGTCAAGATGGAGGTACCATGCGTTGGGAGATTCCTGGCTTTGGTATGAGGTTTACAGCTGGTACTGGATGAGGTAACATTTCCCCTGAAAGACCACAGTCTGGCAATGCTCCTGAATTTGCCACTGATGGGGAAGGCTGGTAGCCTGGCAGGCAGGAGTGCAGCCCTATCTGGAGAAGCCAGTTCAGCCTGCACCTTTAGGCACCTGCAATCTCCTGGATTCTGTGACTACTCAGCCTCCAGTGTCTTGGGGAGGAGGTTGGGGCACTCTGGTGGCCATATTCCAAACCAGCTGAAGTTTCCAAGCTGTCTTTAAAGGCAGTGGGAGCTGCAAGGAAGAGGAGAGGAAGGGAGTTTAGTTCTGCTAGCGTATATCCCTTGCACTTGTAGAATGGGAGCACTGGATGCTGCCTCAGGCTCTTAGAAAGGTCTTCCTCTTTCATGTGCTATCTCAATCTTTATAATAATAATTTATTACTTATACCCCGTCCATCTGGCTGGGCTCCCCCAGCCACTCTGGGCGGCTTCCCAAAAAATATTAAAATACTGTAATACATCAAACATTAAAAGCTTCCCTAAACAGGGCTGCCTTCAGATGTCTTCTAAAAGTCTGGTAGTTGTTGTTCTCTTTGACATTTGGTGGGAGGGCGTTCCACAGGGAGGGCGCCACTACCGAGAAGGCCCTCTGCCTGGTTCCCTGTAACTTGGCTTCTCGCAGTGAGGGAACCGCCAGAAGGCCCTTGGTGCTGGACCTCAGTGTCCGGGTAGAACGATGGGGGTGGAGACACTCCTTCAGATATACTGGACCAAGGCCGTTTAGGGCATTAAAGGTCAGCACCAACACGTCGAATTGTGCTCGGAGATGTACTGGGAGCCAATGTAGGTCTTTCAAGACTGGTGTTATATGGTCTCGGCGGCCACTCCCAGTCACCAGTCTAGTTGCCGTGTTCTAAGGTCAGCAACACCTGGAGGGCTACCCCTGCTCTCAGTCGTTGGAACCAAGCTATTTATTGAGTTACCTGCACCTGGATCATCTTCCCTGCACACTGAGATCTGCAGCAGAGGTTTTCTTGGTGCGTCCACCCACTAGATCAGAGGGGTTGGTGGCCACAAGGGAGAGGGCCTTTTCCATGGTGACTCCACAGCTTTGGAACCCACTCCCAGTGAACCTTTGATGTGCCACCCTGCTGCAGGGGCCTTAAAGTCTTATCTTTTCCAATTGATCTTCTGGGACTAATGTTTGTGGATGGAATGAGGCTAATTTGTATTATCTTTTACTGGTGTGTGTTCTCCCCCTCCCCCCCCCAAAGTCAGGTTTTTAGTTGGCTTTTGCTGTGTTTTAAGTAGTTGTATAATGCTTTGGATGAGTGTTGCCTGGGAAGGTGGCCTAGGAATACTTAAAATAAATAAAAATAATTCTTTCTTAGTTTAATAGTTTATGCTGGAGCATCCCTTTGAGATTGCTTTGTTGGAGAATAGCTGTT